TTCTAGCCCCCGATATTCTTTTTTAATGTTTTTACTAGAGGCCCGATGCACGAAATGCGTGCAAGAGTAGGCCTTCGTTCCCCCAGCTGCCGGCACCGGCTTCCCTCTGGCACCCAGGACCCGGGCTGGGCCCCGGACGCTTCCCTCGTCCGGAAGGACATCTGGTCTAATTAGCATATTATTCTTTATTATTATAGATAGTAAATTAATATTTTTACATATATTTTAAATCCTCACCCAAGGATATGCTTTTCTGTATTTTAGAGAGGGAGAGGGAGAGGGAGAGGGAGAGGGAGAGGCAGAGGCAGAAAAACATCAATCTCGGCCTCCCGTTTGTGCCCTGGCTGGCAATTGAACCTGCAACCTAGGCATGCTCCCTGATCGGGAACTGAGCCCAAATTTGTGTGTGTATGTGTGTGTATGCATGCATATGCGTGTACGTGTGCGCTCACGTGGGATAACACTCCAACCAACTGAGCCACCCAGCCAGGGCAAAAGTAATACTTTTTATATCTCTTACTTTTAATTTCTAACACAGAAAATATCTGCATGACTTTCCTACTCCTACAGACATGGTGGCTTAAAATAACATGAATCATCTTACAGTTCTGGAGGTCAGAAGACTGAAAATGGATCTTATCGGCTAAGAGGAAGGTGTTGGCAGGACTGAGGTCCTCCTGGAGCGAGGGGAGAATATGCCCCTTGCCTTTTCCAGCTTCTATAGGCTGCCGGTTCTCCGTGTCTCGAGGTCTCCCTTCCATCAGTGGCATCACTTCAACCTCTGCTTCCATCCTTGAAATTCCCACTCTGACTCTAACGCCCCTGCACCCTCTTATTGGGACCCTTGGATTGCACTGAGCCCACCTGGTAACCCAGGATAACTCCACATCCCGAGACCTTGGTTTAACCACGTGCAGTTCCTTTTGCCATGGAGAGTAACATTCACAAGTTTGGGGAGCTGGGGGGCCGTTTTTCTGTCTACCACAAAATGCTATATATAACCCACTTAAGCAAAGCTCTTTAGGGTCCTCAACAATTTTTCAGAGAACCACTGCTCTACCATGTGAACAGATTACGGTAGTTAGTTATTAGTTATCAGAAGGGGAAACTCAGAGAAGCTAAGTTATTAGCCAAAGTCACACAGGCTGTGAATAGAACTTCAACTTGAAGCCATGTCATCTGGCTACTGGTGAACCTAATATGGCTCCATCAATGCTTTGCTGCCAAGCCCCAACCACCCTAACTAAGGCAACGGCAAAAAAACAAATTATTGTGGGCATTTTGCAGGCATCAAATAAAGGGTGCAAAACAAGCATGCCGAGGTAAATTGGATACACAGAAAGGAGGACAGGATGGAGAAGAAGGTGTTTAAAGCAATATTACTTTTCAAACCCTTATTTAGGAATATACAAGTTCAAACCTCGTGTGAGAAAGAGTGAAAATGTTATGAATGACCAAGTGTTCCAGTGTCACGTCAGAGATGAGCAAAGGATCTCAGTCCAGAGGAGCACGGATAGGACCAAAGTCCATGAGATACGGGGAGCATGTGCAGCGAAGCACTGCCCTGAGGCACAGGATGGGGCCAGTGACCAAACGCTGATTCATGGGTACTCACTCGTGTTGACAATGACTGTCAAGTCCCAGTTTTTAACACCCCAACTGGGAAGTCCATCTGAAAGGCTGTCTGTATTCTTGGGCTGTCTCTGCATCGTTTAGATGTGACCAGAGTTCAAAATGAGCTAATGATTCAAATCATAACTTTCAAAGGGACACATATTTCTAGTAAAAGACGAGGAATGGGAGGCTCACATGGCCAGGCATTGCTCTCCCACATGACTGGCCGACCCAGGCAAAGCGAACTGGGAGCAATGACCATTAAATTCCCTTCCCTGCACCCAAGCAGGGACCACTCGCGAGTGATGGCTCCCCAGCCCAGAGGCTGGGCAGGAACTCTTCTGGAAGCTCTGGCCTTCCCTGGTGAGCTGCTCGAGGTCTACTTAACTCTCTGGGGTGAAGCTTCCGACTGATCAACTAACCAAACGAAAAAGCAGCAGTAGCGCCTGAACTAACAGCCAGCCCTAACCCAGGTGATGAGGAGTCAGTAACCTCTGTTAGGATGTGCTTCCCCAGGGAGAAAAAGCCACAGAGTTCCGTGATATTGACATCTTCCAAATGAAAGTGCGGGGTCAATGACATGAGTCCCTCAGAGAATCTCTAGCCACATAGCCCAGCACTTCCTAGGGACATTTCAGTGCTGCCTTTTCTGTGATTACACTAGCATTACGGAGTGCTACCTGTGGCCTACAAAGCGGGAAGGCTTTGCCGATTGGAAACATCACTGCCACACCACTTTCTCACAAAATCTAATCCACACACACACCGGCTGTCAGCGCTGTGAGCCTCTGCAAAGGCAGGGCACGCTCGTCTCCTGCAGAATGCGTGAACGATGAAATCAGGCCGCTCGCCTTACATCCATTTTGAAATAACGAATTTTTCATGTGCCAAAGTCAATCTAACACTTTATAGACCAAAAGCGTTATGCTGCTTTCTACACCTCCTAAGGGGATGCAGAATGTAAGGACGTGGAGTGACAGATGATGCCTCTAATTCACAACAGCAAATGGCAATTTTCTGCACTCCGTGTGAGAAGGAAAAGCATCTGCGGGCATACATCCACAGCGGAACCTTTATGTGCAGTATTCTGGATAGGAATATAGATGACACTTTAAAAGAAAATAGATTGGGAGGCATAACTAAAGGGGTGCTGAGTAGGACCTCTCTCCTTACGAGTTATCCCAAAAGTAGTGATTCCAATTTCCAAGGAAGTAATATTCAATAGATTAACTAGAAGAAAAAAAAGAAAACAGGCAAAAGTGTAAGGATATAATATGAGATATGAGTACAGATGTGGTTAAGCTAGCTTTCAAAGAAATCACTACTTGAATATTTTCCCATCTGCAGGTAAAATAATTTTTGAAGTAAAACTTAAAAGGTTTAAGAAAATTTATAAAGAACATGTACAGAAAAAAAACCTGATTTTAAAATATCACTTGGGCACTGCCAATTTAGGAACTGTGGTGAACAAGATATCTGTAGGGCCTTTCTGCTATACTATAATTCTGAATAAATTATTTTTAAAAAGTACTTCTCAATGCGTTGGTGAGGCTCCAGGTAAAGAAACAACCCCCAGGAGGATGTGGCAAGAACAGAGCACTGAAACCTGAGCGCAGAAGAAAGCAGGAGTTGCCCCGGAGGCGAGGCGACTCTGAGTGCCGGCAATGGGACAGGCATCTTGCCTTCAGCTCTCAGCCACGTGGGGAAAGCCCAACTTGAAAGCAGGATTCCCAAAGGGAATGAAAGTGGTCCTGGGTTGATTCCAAGAAAGGTTTTTATTGTTAAGACCGAGGCCCTCCTATTATAGTGAGATCATGCCGGCGGAAAGAAATCATAAACACATCAAGTTCAACAGTTACCGCCTCTAAACAATTGCTGTCTAATTTGTACGGTGAAACATACAACAGAACCGAAACACTGAGAAGAACACACACAGAGAGAAGACAGTCCTCATTAGGTGTCCTTTGAGTTGTATATTATTCTAGACGAGGATTAAAATACCTTAACTGCTGATTGACTTCAAAACTGTTAAGTGTACACTTTCAGGGCAATCATTAGAAGAACAAGAAATAGAATGCATACTTTCCAAACCAGCAGACCAAAAAGAAAAAAAATTGAATGAGAACACAAATCAACAAAAACTTTAATCCAAATGAAAAAATTAACAATAAAAAAAAAACACACAGGGTTAAAAGAGAGGTTAGACTTTGTTTCCAAAAAAAATAAAACAAACAACACTGCACTAGCCATATAAGACTGTAAAATTTCTCTACTTTAAAGTCATTAAGTCTGTTTTCCAAAGATACTAAAAAGAAAGATGCTCAATGACAGTATTAATCAGGAAAATGCAAATTAAGGCCACAATAATATGCTATTTTATATCCGCTAGACTGCCAAAAGAATATCAGAAGTTGGAAGGAAGTGGCGCAACAGATAAAGTGTAATAGATTTTCACAACAGAACTTTATTTAACATTAAAATTTAATTTACTACCATTGTATGCAACAGGTGAATTTTAACAACATAACTGAGTGAAAAATGCTAGTTGCAGAGTACTTCACATAATCACTATTATCAAGCTTAAAAATGGACAAAAAGCATCAATATATTGTTCGGATATAAACATAGTAATCGTGTGCCAGAATGGAAACTAACTACCAACACTCAGAATCCTGGCTAGTTCAGTCGAGTTTTGCTTTGGGCACAGGACTTTCTCAATGAAGGAAGCCGTTTACTGGCCTATGTTCAGAGCAAGCTCTTCATCTCATCTCAGACTGGCGCTGGCAGCACCGGCCAAGACTATCAACTCCACAGGAAAGGGCAGACCTGGGAAGTGTCATCTTCCAGGATAAGGAGTAACTCCAGGTTAAAGGAAAAGGCCTGGCCCCAAATGCCTCTCCCAGGTCTCCTAGAACCTTCCCTGATCATTTCTTCTATAAAATTAAATTATTAGTAATAGTTTTGGTTAAAGATGAAAAATGGCTTACTCTAAGGCAGAGATTTTCTTTAATTCAGGCAGCCTTTCTCCTTTTAAATGTCAAGTTTAAATGTTAAACTTTTAAAGGTGGTCTATGTGGCTTCAGATCCAGCAGCACCTTTTCAGTCATTTCTGTGACTGGGGCAGACATTATTTCCTGTGCCCTTTGTTTTATGAATTTCTATCTCCCTGGCTTATGTTGTCTTCCTCCTCCTATGAGGAAGCTAGCTTCTTCAGCCCTTTCTCCTCCAAAACCTTGGCTGATTTTGACCTGGGCATCTCAAAGACTTGGAAGATCCCTCCATCCATCAGAGCCTCACACACAATCTCAGCGCAAAGCAGGAGCTATTTGAGGCACTTCAGATCTGTGAGATGTCTGGGCATGGGCAGAACAATGAATTTGACTTACATGCATGCTGGCTTTCATACACCATCTGCTATGCTCCCACTTCACTATTCTTGAAATTCAGAGAATCCCGAACTCCTGCAGTCACGGAAGCTTTGCCTGGAACAAGAAAGACAAGATATAAGAAAGAGGGCAACCGGAAGGAACCAAAGGGTCTACTGGGGAAAGTCTCTCTTCTAGAATTAATCTTGACATTTACAAGAAAAAAGAGCCCCTGGAGTTAAAAAAAAATCTCTACCTCAGTCTAAGCCATTGTTAATCTTTAGCCACAACTATTAGTAGTAATTTAATGTTTTTACAGGAAACCATTATTATTTACAAAGAGCTCTCACATGCATTTTCTCATTGAGCCATAAGATCTTGAAAATAGGCAAGTATTATTTAAAAATACGGCAGCTGGCCTGGCCAGTGTGACTCCAGTGGTTGAGCATTGACCAATGAAACAGGGGGTCATAACACAGTTCAATTCCAGATCAGGGCACATGCCCAGTTTGTGGGCTTGATCCCTAGTAGGGGTCACTCAATCAATGATTCTCTCTCATCATTGATGTTTCTATCTCTCTCTCCTTCTCCCTTCCTCTCTCTGAAAGCAATAAAAAAAACCACCTTTTTTCATCATTAAAAATAAATAAATAAAAATGCAGCAGCTGAACTTCCCAAAGTTACAGAACTTTCCCATGACCATTCAGCCGGCAAGTATCAAAGGAGGGATTAGAACCACCTCTATGATTCCTCATTCTAAATTCTTCTATGGCACGAAATGAGATAATGGTTTCAACTTGGAAAGCAAGCTTGTTATTTCTTCTTGCAGTAGATTTACTTTCTTAGCCAATAGATATAGAAATGGCTTTGCCTGCTGAATGGCACAGATGTTGTGTGATAGGATTAAATGTTCATTTACCAGAGATAACCAAAAGGTAGAAAATCCACACATAGGTAGTTAAGAAACGCATGTATCTTTTTCACATACTCTCCTTTTCTCGTTAAGCCATTGTTATATTGCTGGGTGTTTCCTTAACTTGGAAATAATTTCAAACTTGTAGAATAATACTAGTTCAAAGAACTAGTTCAAAGAATTATTAAGTATAACCTTTATAATTAGTAATTCACTCTTTGTCTACAGACACATCACTCAACATTTTCTTTCTGAGCCACGTGGAGATAATCATCAGGGCTTTTTTACATCTAAATACTTGTGAATTTATTTCTTATACATAGCAGAATATGTAAATAGCCATAATGTTATCTATGTTAGATTTAAAATTGATATAATGCTTTCATCTACCACCATTTTCAATTAACCAAACGCACACTGGAGCATCTTTTCCTCCAAATGAGGATCCAGTTCAGGGTCAGGTCTGGTACTAATTGCCATTAATCTGAAGCACACAGCTTCCCTTTGTCTTTTTTTACACTGACACTTTAGAAAAGTACAGCCCTCCCCCTTATTTATATGAATAAAACATTTCCTTTTGACTTGTCTGACATTTCCTCATGACTCGATTCAGGTCATGCATTATCAGCCAAAACTACGGAGGCAACGGTTTCCTCTCCGGGTATCATATCTGAAAGCATATACAGTCCAGGAGCCTCCTTGGCGAGGTTAATTTTGATCATTCTGGCAAGGTTTTGTCTAATTTCTTCAATGGAAAATTGCTAAGTTTTCCCTTGCAACTAATAAGTTATCTGTGAGGAGGTACTTTAAGACCATGAAAATACCTGTCCCCTGGCAAAATTTCCCTCTAGATTGAGCATTCATTGGTGATCCTTGCCTGATCTAAACTGGATTGCAATGGCCACAACATGCTGATTGCTCCAATGCCAGCATTCCCTCCACATTGTCAGTCATTACTCAGTGTTGTACATTATTAGTCTATTTATCTACTTATGGTCAATATAGATGCGTGAAGTCCTACTTTTTCGATAGTTTATAATTTATCACTGACTTAATTACTCTGGTGCTCAAACTGTCTCAGATTTAGCCAGTGGGAGCCCCTTTATCTTTGTGACACGCCCCATCATTTTTTTCTTACTTTTATATCCTTACTTGCTGACATTACCAAAAAACAAGTTCTGGGGTCATCTTGTACCTATCCCATCTCTTCTCTAGATGAAGTCATTTCTCCCAAAAGGCCCGATGCTATTAGAGATCAAGATCTAACATAACACAGTTTTAAAGGCATTGTCTGTTTGTACTGACTGCTTTTCATTTTAAATATGAGTCACATTTTTCTGCTTTTTGTAGGTTTCTTTCCCATTATAAGGTAGACAATTAGAAGGTATTCTGTTTGATTCCTATGGCAATTAAATTACTGGCAGATCCTCTTAATCCTGTCAGGCTTGGTTTTATACCTGGTTAAGACACTATGTCTATTTCAGCTATGTCAGTGGTTCTAGCAAATGGCCCTACTCTAAGGTATGGCCCTACTCTAAGATAGTCAAAAAGATAACAAGATGTGGTCTTTCTAGTGTCTCAGTAGAATGGCTAAGGTGCTCAGTGCAGTCTCTCCACCTCAAAAGGCCAGAACTCCCCATTTGTCTCAGTACTACATGACCTCTGGTATGGCCATTCTCTTCCAAACCTGGTAGCAGCTGCTCTCTGGGGTCTCACCTAATATATGTACACATTCCAGCTTCTGGGCTCCCCAGGGCCCTGCCATACAGATTCCAGCCTCTTGGGTAGCCCTGGACTCCATGAGACCACCATGCTCCTAGGACTCCCCTCCCAGGACAAAGGCTCCAGCAGAACAGCAGGCAGATGAGGGCTCACCTCACTGATTCTCTTCTCTCAAGGATCATAGTCCTGGCTGCCCCATATGGTGTTCTGTTTTCTAGTTTCCCACAGGAGGGCAAGTCCAGCACCAGATTCCCCGCCTCCTCTCTGCCTTCAACACTAGTGATGCTTGAGGACTGTGGGGCTGCTCTATTGGAGGGGTTAAGAATCAAACACTGTGAGCATATTGTAAATGTTCTTTATTTAAACATTTCAAAGCACTCTCTATCTGTGTCTTAGAAAAGTATGTGTTTACTTTTATTGCAGCGCTGTGGCAAGAGAAACACTCTCTAGCCACCAGGCAATTCCAAACAAAATGACAAGAAAATGTCTCTATTCCTTCCACAAAGCTGATCCTCACTTCGGATAGCCAGCTGTCTATCACCCCAACATACATTTACATTTACTTCTATTACTCTTCTCCAAATGGCATAACAAAACACAATAGTCTATCCAAAGAAATGAAAGTTAGTTGCTAGTCTTCATTTTTCTTGTTTATGTGCATGTACTTAGGGGTGGGGAGAAGATTGCTTTTCATATAAATCATTTCCTGATGTATTTCCATTTCTACTTCTAACCACAGTGAGAAAATAATTAGAAAAAAAATAGTCAAAAAGATAACTGGCAATCCCAGACACAAAGTTAATCAAGAGAAAATTGGCTAACAAGAACACACTGTAAGAAAAGATAATTTTGCAATTACAGGAAAATGGAGAATAGTGGTTCTTACCCTGCACAAGCCAGCAGACTTGCGCCCCTAGTGCGCACACACAAGCAGCGTCCCAAACAGTGTGCCAGGCAGAAATGTGGGGCCACCACCTTCTACTTCCTGAGCAGATTTTCTCCATAACAGAAATGGCCCAAGCTGGTTTGGCTCAGTGGATAGAGTGTCAGCCTGCAGACTGAAGAGCCCCCAGTTTGATTCCAGTCAAGGGACATCCCCAGGTTGTGTGCTCCATCCCCAGTAGGGGGTGTGCAGGAGGCAGCCGATCAATGATTCTCTCTCATCATTGATGTTTCTCTCTCGCTCCCTCTCCCTTCCTCTCTGAAATCAATAAAACTATATATTTTTTTAAAATTCACATTGCAGCCACCTCATCCATTTTCTCAAAGGGAACCAAAGCATGGCAAGTTATACCTTTCTTTGGTTTTACTTCAAGTCCCCTAGAACTGAAAGGCGAGCAGCTGATGCAAACAGAGTCTATGTTTGTCCCTTGGCCCTCCTCACTGTCCCTATGCTAAAGGGTCTCTTGGATCGTCTTCCCACAGGACTCAGTGTCTCCATGTGGATGCTGTTGAACTCTGATTCCTCATGTCAGACCAACTGTACAAGTTCCTCCGTGGTTCCTCATTTCCCAGGAATACAATCAGAGCCTCTTGGCTTGAAAAACAAGCCCTCCACATCTGCTCCCTGCTGACCTCTCTACTTCATCTCCCAGCAGTTTCTGCCCCATCACTAGTAAAATCCTTGTAGACATTTGCCTTCAAGGAACACCCTTTCTGCCCTTTCTTCTCGACTAACTCACTGAGGCTTGACACCCTCCGGGGAGTAGTTCATGATCACCACTCAAAGCTGGGTTAGTGTCCAGCCTTCGTATTCTCACAGTACCTATGCTCACCTTTATAATAATCACTTGTCGATTATTCTAAGTGTACTTAATATGTATTATCTCAGTGACTGCAAATACAAACTCTGTACAGGAGGTGCTGTTTTCCGCCCAATCTACAGATGACAAATGGGCAGAGAGGCTCAGCAGTTTCCCAGTGTCACAGAGCTGGGGAACGGAGGATCAAAGCGCTTACAGCCTTTCCATAAATAGCACCAAACACATTTAATGGAAAAATTATAATACAACTAGTGTTTCCAGGTAAAGGCCCGGAGCAAAAACAAGTGGTGACCTCATGGCAACACTAAAAGGGTAAAAAAAAAGTAAGATGTGAAAGATTCGTCAGAATTCTTCAGAAGAGAATATAACAAAGATGCACATCCTATATATTAAAAGGCCAGGGACCATAAGCATAATGATCAGAATGACCATTTGATCAGTCACCATGAGGTGATTGACCACCTCTCAGTCCCTCCCCTCCGGCCTGCAAGCAGTGGCTCACGGCAGCGGGCAGGGCAGCTCATGGCGGGCGGGCAGATGGGGCAGCAGGTGGGGCGGAGAGCGGCAGCAAGCAGTGGCGAGCTATGCATGCATGATTTTGTGCACTGGACCTCTAGTCCATTATAAGGGATAAAAATAGCTGTTATGCACTGAGAGCCTACTCTGTTCTTAGCCCTGTAACAAGCACTTCACGGATGTTATTCAATCTTCAAAACCAC